GAAACGCTTGCAGTTGTCGAATCTGTGGACCGCTTTAAATATTACATCTATGGAAAGTTGTTTTCGGTCATTACCGATTGCAATTCTGTAAAATTGGCCATGCAAAAGCGAGAAATGATACCTCGTATAGCCAGATGGTGGCTTCGTATCCAAGACTATGACCTCATCATCGAACATCGAAGCAAGCAACAATTGGCGCACGTCGACGCACTAAGTCGTATGCCTAACGAAGACGGTTGCGATCTTGAGGAAGCGACTTTGCGAGTCTGGAAGGCGGAAATAACTGAGGCAGATTGGCTTTACAGTATGCAATTACAAGATAGCAAACTTCAACAAGTCGTAATGAAAATTGAGGATAAGGATTCAGACATTATTAACGACTATAAAATAATTAACGGACGACTGTACAAACGGTATAAAAACCAACAGCTCTTCGTAATACCAAAGGTTTTGCGATGGAAGGTGACACATGATGCACATGTTAAAACAGGACACTTAAGCGTTGACCGAACGATTGAATACTTACTACGGTCTATGTGGTTCGCTCGAATGCGAAACTTTGTCAAATCTTTTGTGAAAGCGTGCATTGATTGTGCCTTCACCAAGCGTCGAGGAGGTAAAAAGGAAGGTGAGTTACATTGCGACAAAATGGAGCCTATTCCGTTCAAAACAACTCACATTGACCACCTGGGACCTTTTCCCCGAAGCCGAAAGTTAAACGAGTATATCCTGATTATTGTGGACAGTTTCACAAAATTTGTCATCGTCAGACCAGTGAAAAGTACGAACACTAAACAAGTCGTCGCCATTCTGATTGAAGTTACCAGTTACGTTGGAACCCCTGAAAATATAATAAGTAATCGTGGTACCGCCTTTACGTCAAACGAATTTGAAAGATACTGTAACGATCAACAAATCAAACACATACGCAACGCAGTCCGTACGCCACGAGAAAATGGCCAAGTCGAACGATTTAATCGCACCGTTTTATCCATGCTGCAACCATCAACACAAGATGACCGAACCTGGGACGAGCAACTACGAAGCATTCAATGTACATTGAACCCACTGATTAGCCAAACGACGGGAAAATCTCCAAACGAATTGCTTTTTGGATTCAAGCCACGCGACATATTAGGTAACAAGCTGATCCAAATTCTCCAAGATGAAGACGATACTATTCCCATCACCCAAGAAGAACTCCACCGTCGACGATTACTTGCTGCTAATAACACCGATAGTAAACGGGTAAACGCGAAAAAGCGTTTCGACGATAAACACAGGAAACCAACGAAATATGAGCAAGGTGATTTAGTTCTAGCAGAACGAGAACCAGCATCCACAGGCACGTCCCGCAAACTTGAATGTCGATATAAAGGACCGTTTGTAGTCACCGAAGTTCTCGATAATGACCGTTATGTCATCGAAGACCTACCAGGATCCGATCGAAAACAACGACATTATAGATCAATCTATGCGTCTGATCTCCTAAAGCCATGGTGTCAATTTCCGTACGAAGAAGAAACTGATTCCGAGCGCGAGGACGCTTGACGTCAGAAAGGGCCGACTGTTAACCTACATCCGAAACGCAAAACTGGGCACCTTAAAATTTTTAACAACATGTGGTCACCTAACCTATGTTTGACAGCGAATGACACAATCGAGTGAAGTAAGAATAACGGAAGTTCGTTGGGTAGCGTCGTGAATAAATATATTGTTTTAGTTAAATAAAGTAAAGTAAAGTTATGTAAAAAGAAAGTCTATTAACGTTTTGTAGTTAACGCAAAAAACCAAATTTAAATTAAACCAAATTTAAAATTGGTACATGTTGACTTTATAAATAAAAGTGTCTCCCAATTGTAACGACAGTTCCTTAGGGTCGTTTCGTTTTGCTGGGTGTCCTCAGCCTCTCCAGATTCGTTACAATAAAATTTATATATAACCAAAATATTCAAAGACACGCTTGGGTCTTATATATATTTTTCTGTATTTTATTATTTAGTATTATTAAATAAATTTAAAGTGAATAAATATTGTGAAGGTTTAGATTAATTTTATAAATAACTGATTAAATCAAGGTGTAGATGGAAGAACGCAGCTTTAGAGCTGCGTACTGATATAAATTCAGCAGGATGTCTGTAGAATTTGTACTTGATGTTCAACGGTTATTCGGATGTGTAGATTACTCGATTCACTTTGGTTGACTTATGTGTTTTCTAAGGGAAAAAATGATTAGTATCGATATTTCTTGATGTAGAATTATCCTTATATATGAATTCTGTGAAATTATATTATTTACGATAGACGTAATTCGACCAGTTAAAATAATATAATTGAACTTTGTGTTAATAATTCTTGATGTAGAATTATTTTTATTTATGGACTTGCGTTTTTCTAGGTGCATAATTCTTAGTGATTCTATGCCAACGAAAATGCGCGTCTTAAATATCCAACCGACCAAGCTTTTTCGTAGCCTATCATTTTTATTTACAGCTGATCTCACACAAGTCTTGTTTACTTTGCTGTTCTGTAATTTTTTTGTTTCATGTTGTGTGCGGTACCCAGCTTGTGCATTTTACTTCTCTTGAGCTTCTCTAACGGCGAATATTTTTGGCAGTTCTTGTTTTCTTATTTCGCTATTGTGCTGCTTTGTTTTGATTCTTACAAAACGTGTTATAAAACTACATTCAGTCAGTGGTGGTTTTATTTATTTTATTTGTTATAATAAAATAAAATATTAAAAGTGCAAATATTTTTTAAATTTCAGGAATAAAAATAAAAAATATAATTAACAAATAAATAAGGTGAGTTTATTATTCATTTATATAATCATACTTTCATATTTTATTTCAATATCATTTCAGATTACTTTGAGGTGTTACTACGGCTTGCAAGCGGGTTGGATTTTGGTAAGTTGTTTTGAATAAATATTTTAAATATTAATTAATTTTTTTTCAATTCCAGATATTTGCAACATTGATTACCAGTGAAACCACTTTTTTTAAATTTAAATATAAATATAAAAAATGTGTTGTTTTATAAAAAAAACTGTGTTGTGTTGGCGTGATTTAGTTCGTGTTATTGTCTTTAGTGCATGTTTATGTAGGTGGAAATTTAGTGTAAATTTCCATCCTTACACACTGCAAATTAAATATAAATGGAAACAGCACGTAACAAGAAAAACGAATTTGACCTAAAGTATAAGCAGATAAAATGGTTAATCGGTATGCATTTAGTGTTATCGACACAAAATAAACTCCTGATTTACAATCAAATTTTAAAGCTTGTATGGACTTACGGTATACAGTTATGGGGATGCACCAGTAAGAGCAATGTTATGATAATACAGCGTTTTCAAACAAAGTACTTAGAAATATTATCAATCAAACCCGTTGAGGACGTCATAAAAACGTGTGCTATTGCTCACGCAACGAAAATTACACAACATAAAAATGCAGAAGTAAATTAGTTAATGCAACTGACTCAGTACGGAGAATAAAACTTACAAAACACTCTAACCTCACTAAGTAATAAAAGTAGTTGCAGTTAAGTAGTTGTATTAATAAAAAGAAAGACAAAAAATGCATCACGAATGTAATCTTCGGGTGATTTAGTCCATTCCTAAACAATGGTTTTCTTCAGCGCATTCATACTGGCATATTTTTTGTCCTCACTTTGCTCTCCAAAATAGGCTACATGGAATAATTCATCGGATTTGCATTTGGCGATATCTAAAGCCATTGTGTGGACGAAATGAAGTGTGGAACATGATTTTTAACCTTTTTTGGTTCACACGAGCTTTATGAGGCAGTGCCAAAACTGGTTGAAACGTCCATGGTCAACGACCGAAATGTTTGCGTGCCCACAACTCTAAAGCAACTTCCAAAACATTTTCCCGAAAATAAGTCGAATTGACTTTGACACAAGGGTCGATGAAAACGATTGAGAAGCGTCAATCGGCGGTTATAGCTGCCCATACCATTACTTGAGATGGAAAATTACTTTGGCTGGCCATTCGTACTCCAAAATTATCGGCAATGCATTCAGTTAAGTAAATACGATCATTTTGAGAATTTGTTCAATGGGGCTCAATGAGGAAATTTTTCTCATCAGAGAACATAATGTTAGAAAATTTGCTACGTCCGTGCAAGTGTAACAACTCCTTTGTTCTTTCGAGTCTAACTTTTTATTGCTTTGGTGTAAGATCATGTAGCTTTTGGAACTTGTAACCCTTTACCTTGAGCTTATTTTGGAATATGCGTCGCTTACTTCGTTGGGATATTTTCAGTTCTTTGGCCATTTGATTACCACATTTCAGGTGATGTTACAGTTTTTTTCGTCCACCACAGTGTTTGGTGAGACTGCCAGTACTATTATACCGTTTCATGATCCAATACACAAACATTTTATTTACTTTTTGATATTTGAGCTCACAAACAGAAACTGATTCTGTTTTTCCAGCCAAATATAACGTAATCACACTATTACTTTTGATTTCCATTTCGAATAACTTTTGTTCTATAAAACTTAAACGCAAATGCTTGTGGTGGCTTGTAAACAATATAAACAATATCAGTTTGACAGATGTAGCTGTGTGTTGTTGGTAACATTTTAATATTGTAAAAAAATTGTGAAATGTCTTCACAGTAAAATACTATTATTAAATTTAACAGCTGTCATTCACATGTGTCTCACGTAGTTGGCAATATCAGTTTGACAGATGTAGCTGTGTGTAGTTGGTAACACTTTAATCGTCTAACCCTGAATAGTGTAAAAAAATCGTGAAATGTCTTCACAGTTAAATACTATCATAAAATTTAACGCTTTATTTTTATGGAATAAATAAAACAGAATAATAATTATAAGTAGTAGATATAAGCTGCAAGATCGAAATATGCTATGTAATAATAAAAGACTTCCGTAACTTACGTTTAAAATTCATTTATGTTAAAGTGTAACCGTTTAACATGAGGTATCATTTAATCATTTAAATTTTATAGAATGTGGTGGTGTTATGAAGGGCAGAGCTGGAGTTATACAGTCTCCAAACTATCCTCTTAGTTACCCAGCTAATTCTGATTGTGAATGGATTATAGAAGTTACGCAACATCATACGATAACGCTGGTATTAGAAGATCTTGATTTAGAAAACTTTTATGATTGCGAAATGGATTTTATTGAAGCGATAGAGCAAATTGGTGATGATTTTAAAGAACATCAGTTGTTTAAAAAATGTGGGTCTATGGATACAGATCTCATTACTAATACTCATTCAAATTTAGCTATTATAAGATTTAAAAGTGATTACAGTAACGAAGGAAAAGGGTTTAAGTTGAGTTTTAAAGAGGCAAGAAAATAATTGAACATTATTGTAAAAGATTAATTTATTTATTTTGGTTACTAGAATTGCGGTGAGAGTATTGTTATAGATGAAAATGACTTCGATATTATTGAAATAAATGGATATGGTCACTTGAATGCAACATGTAATTGGCAAATTATATCTAAAGACTTATCAAAGCATATTTTATTAACACCTACGCATATTCAATTAAATCCAATGATAATGTCGTCTTACCAATCAGAGAGGGATTGTGCTAATATTGGAGCAAAGGTAGTTTTTAATAAATTAAATATGCACTTAACTTATATTAAAATGATATATTATTTTATAGATATATGATGGACTCAGTATCATTTCGCCATTACGATCACAATTTTGCGCATCTCATCCAGCTGCAATTATTTCTAATGGACATGCATTAACTATAGTTGTACCTCTTAATGTAATAATTGAGTTTGAAGCAGAATATATGATCATGGACAACTATTGTGGTGGAAATTATCATTCAATAATGGGTAAATTTGCGTCACCATATTATCCTTCATCATATCCTGTTAACATAGACTGCATCTGGTATATTGAGGCAAGCGCTGGCAATGCAATCGTTCTTACAATAGAAATTTTCAGTATAGAAAATTCAGATGAATGCAATAAAGATTATTTTGAAATACGTGAAAATGATTCTAGAGGTCGACTGTTGGGATTGTTTTGTGGATCTGAAATTCCAGTGCAAATTGACGGTTCAAGAATATTATGGATAAATTTCAAAAGTGACAGTAATGTTGTGGGAAAGGGATTTTTAGCTTCATACAATTACAGTATGTAGACATTGCTCTTTTGTGTTTTAATGTCATAATTATTTTATGATATGTATAGAAACTCACAATGAAGTTAGTGGGCCTAACGGTACTATAGAGTCTCCAAAATATCCCACCAAATTTGAGTCTAGAAATGAGTACAGTTGGAGAATCACAGTAGACAAAGATTTTGTTGTATTAGTTTCAATTAAATATATCATTGATATTGATATACCTTTTCTTAAAGTAAGTTGCTCCAAATACTCTAATCAGAAAAATAAAATTATATTTTTTAGTTCTATGATGGATATTCGGATATTGGTACACAAATTGACTATAGTGCTACATACTATGTGCGTTCAAGCACAAATATTTTATTCTTAACCTCAACTCGTGGTCCTTTTTATATAGAATGGGAGAGATTATCTAAAGAGGCATTACGTACTAATCGAAGTGCAGAAGAGGTTGCGGACTCTTGTGGCATATCACTAATAAGAATTGATGCGCCTTTGATATTTAACTCTCCTGGCTATCCAACTGGTTATGGCAGTAATCTTAATTGCAGCTGGATTATAATTCCTAACCATATTACTACTCACATAAGTGCCCAATTTAGAGTGATGGATTTGGAAGATTTTGCAGAATGTATGGCGGATTATGTAACAGTTTCAACAAGCAGTGACTTGAAGAATTGGGTTCAAATAACAAAGCTTTGTCGCAACAATGTACCTGAAACTTCTTTATTCCATGGAACACCTTATTTACGACTTGAGTTCATAACTGATTCCAGTATAAATAAAACTGGTTTTTCTAGTTACTTACGTACAGTATGTGGCTCTGAAATCACTTCATCAAAGGGATTTATTAACATCACTGATCTTAACATTACTACAAATGCCGAGTCCTGTCTTTGGTTAATTCGTGTTCGACAAAGTCAGCGAATTCGTTTATTCTTCTTAGAATCGGAAATAAAAAGCAATTCTGGTTCCCAATATTGTTCTACTTATTTTGTAGTTAGAAATGGCATTAACGAAGATTCTCCTTTCTTGGGTAAAGGAAAATATTGCGAAAATAATATAACAGATATATTAGAAACTTCAAGTAATAAATTATATGTGAAATTTGTACACACTGATTCATTTCCATTCAAAGCATCATTTCATTATGAAGAAATACATAACACATGCTCAAGAAAAATAACATTAAGTAAAGATTCAATAATAGATCAAGTTACCACAATAAGTACTCCAAATTATCCTAACATACCTAACCCGCATTCGGAATGTATTTGGAAAATATCTGCACCAATTCATCACACAATTGCAGTAGATTTCTTTGAAAAATTTGATTTAGCAGAAGGTACTGCTACAGGAAAAACTAAGTGCGATCGTGAATTCGTTCAACTGAATGATGGGGCTACAGAACTAATGCCAATTATAGGTTCATATTGTGGTACAATCAAGCCAGACACTATATATACCTCGGGTAATAATTTACGTATTAAATATTTTACCGATATGACTGAACCACATATCGGATTTATTGCAAATATTTCTATTGGAATTTGTGGTGGATCTTACTACTCTTTTCAAGGTATTATAAATTCTCCAGTAATATTAAATTTTCGCAAAAACGAAAAATGGATTGAATGCACATACAAAGTTGAAGTAAACGAGGGATACATGATTAAAATTGAATTTAATAAATTACAGCTGCCAATTTCAACAAATTGTTCCGAAGTAACACACTTAGAATTAGTTGATATTGACGCAAATTTGGACACAAAAGATTTAATAAAAAACTCGCAAAAAATATGTGGTGACTATCAAGAAGATATTATAATAGAATCTAATAAACTAAAATTAAATTATAAAATAAGAGAAAGCGTTTCCTCAAATAATTTATTTAAGATAAGTTACTCTTCAATAGGGTCAAGATGTGGTGAGACGATTATTGCTGATCGTGGAATCTTACAAACGCCGGGATATCCTAATGGTATCATGAAACCAACACATTGTATTTGGCGCGTTAAAGCAACAAAAGGCAAGCGCATTAAAATGGAGCTCCTTGATTTTGATACTGGAGAAGTAGCAAATGCAAGTAGTTCAACTGGTTTTCGTGGAAGAGTGTCATTTTCTAATGATTTTCATATGCTTTCGATTATCTCTCGTGTATGGCAAAATCCTCCAACTACATTATATTCCACTGATAATTTATTAACAGTTGATGTGTTTTTACTTTCAATTAATAAACATCGCGGTATAAAACTAAGATTCACTTCAGATGAGGAGTCTCAAGTTTGTCCATCTGTAACTAATTTATCAAATCACGGAGTATTTAATTTTAAAGGAAATGAAAACACCTCCATTTATTGCAATTATTACTTGAAAATGAATATTAATACAACATTAGTTCTTCAAGTTGTTAATTTGCAAAAATATGATAACTCAACATACTTGAACTCCCGTACATGTAGATTTTTCTCTCCAATAAAATTGACGTTTGTTAAGGATCATCTTTCACCAGACTTCTTATGCAAAAATGAGTTGCAGCCGTCTATAAAGTTACCTTTCCCAGTTACTTTTGAAATTTACGGCGATAAAAGAAATAGTTTACGAGAGCTTGAAATAAATTACACAACATATAATTGCGGAGGTGTTTTTTCTTTACGTTTGGGTGACAGCTTAACAATAAATTTACCTAATATTACGAATTTCAGTGGCAAACTTGAGTGTGCTTGGGCAATATGGCCAAATGAAAATATCAATTTGGATTATACATCTGATATTGACTATTGGATAGAAGGCATGCAAATTGAATTTTTCATTTCAATAAATTTTATAAATAAATGTGAAGACGAATACATATCAATTTTTAATGGACCCAATCAAAATTCTCCCCATTTAGGACGTTTTTGCAATCAGCAATTCATTTCTAATTTAGTAACTGAAAGAGGTTTATTCTTTGAATATTTTACGATTAAGTATGAAAATCAGTCGACCTTAAATGTCACTGTTAAAGAAGGCAGTGGATGTGGAGGTATACTCACATATCCATACAGAGATATTAATTTTAACGAACAATACAAAAACAATGTTGAATGTATTTGGGAAATATCCACCAAACCCGGTTTTCATTTAGGACTTGTCTTTTTACACCGTTTCTTTATTGAATACAGTTCAGGCTGTACAAAAGATTACTTGAAGGTACAACAGAAAAACATGAACGGCAGCTGGGAAGATATTAAAAAAATTTGTGGAAGAGATCCCCCAAACTTTGTCAATACCACCACATCTGAAATGCGCTTAATATTTAAGTCGGATGGCGATATTATCGCAGATGGATTTACAGCCCAAATTCAACAAAACTGTGGAGGTATCTTATTTGCAACTTCTGCAGTTCAGAAAATTTCAAGCCCAGGATATCCCAAAATGTATGAAAATAATCTTTACTGCAATTACACAATATTGGCAACTGATCCTTCTAATAATAATATAATAATACGATTTATTGATTTTCAAGTAGAGCGACCTCCTGTTTCACAATGCATTTTCGATAATGTTACCATTGAAGCACAAGATAAGTTAGGCAAAGTAGATAAAATTGTGTTATGCGGCGTCAGTAATAAGAATGAGTTTCAAGCAACACGTTATATATCTATTATCTTACAAACTGATCAGTCATTTGCTTATAAAGGGTTTTTGTTAGAATTCAGCGTTAATAGTTGTGGTGGACGTATAACAAATTCTACAGTAATTAGTTCGCCACAACATGGTGATAATCATTTTCTACCGAACTCTTTTTGCGTATGGAACTTGACTGCGCCAAATGCTTATAAAATACTTATTAAATTTGAAATATTGGATTTTGAAGGTCAAAGTAACTGTCAGAGTAACGCTGTGGAAATTTTTAGCGGATTTGAAATTATAGATAATGAACGGCTTGTTAAATTATGTGGAAATTTAACTGGAAATATGCCAATTGTGACTATACCAAATAATAAGGGATTAATACGAAGTTTTACAGATAATCGGGATTTTTCAAAAGGATTTAAGGCATTAATTAGTTTTGTCTCTAACTGTGACCATACTATATTTTTAGATTTATCAAATATAACTTACGAATTTGATTTATATGCTGCAAATTACACAAACAACTTAGATTGCACGTATCTATTTACTACAATACCTGGACGGCAGTTGCTAATAAAATTCACACACTTTCATATTGAAGACTCTTTTAATTGTCGAAGTGATTATGTAGAACTTCGTGATGGTGCTGGCCCATTTTCTGATGCGATTGGCCGATTTTGTGGATATTCTTTGCCAATAGAGCTGATATCGTCTAGAAATACGTTATTTATGCGTTTTGTAACGGACTCAAAGGTAACAAGCTCTGGGTTTATTGCACTATTAACTTCAGTCCCTTTAACATGTGGTCAAAGTAATTTGGAAATTATTGAATCAAACGTATGTATATACATATATTTTAGCATCTTATAAATATTCAATAACTTGTTTTCAGTCAATTGTGCTAAAAGCGCCTGAAAAATTGGGGAACTATTCGATTTTGAATTGCTTTTGGAAAATCAAAGCAAAAAAATATATTCATATAAAGTTTGATCAATTAAATATCAATAATTCAAATGAATCTTGCTTGGAGAGTTACATTAAAATTTACAATAAAGAGGTAACGATATGCAAATTAACATTTTTAAAATTATTGAGTTATTTTGTATTAAGTATTTTTTTTCAATTTAGTAATAGATATAAGTAATTTAATATTTTTAGTTTATTTACATGATTAAATTTATTCGTAATATCAGAAATACTATTTATTGGTGTTGTTCATTTTAAAATGGAATAAATTGGATACTATATATTACTATATATTAATTATAAATCAATAATAATATGTAACTATAATGAGTCCAATATTTTAGTCTAGTATGTTCAAATAATTACAATTTTGATTGCAATTTTGCTCGTTCGGCTCGCGAAATCGGATAGTTATTTTAACTTGATCTTGTTATGAAGCAGTGGTCAATGGTTAATGATATTGGGGGGTTTTGAGTTATGCTAAGGCCCCCATTCACTGCGACCAGCTTGATATATTGTGCACCTTTTTGTGCTTAGACATTCAGTATCTCGGTGAATCGAACTAGCTCCTTGGGATGGAGTTTTCAAAGGTCTTCATCCTCTAGTTAGTATGCACCTAAAATTTTGTTTCTTTTGTGGTCTAGTGCATCACAGTTGGTGATCAGATGCTCCATAGATTTTTTCATCACAGCAGAATCTGCAAATATTAGTGTCGAATATACCTATTTTGTGTAGGTGTTTATTGCAGACGACGTGGCCTGTTAGTGTACCAGAGAGTAACTTTAGACTTTTCTTGTTTAGATTAAGAGCGATGTTTGCTCAAAAATTTTTTGGCTTCAAAATTCAAGAATTTTTTGGAATGATATAGGTCGTCCATTTTATTTCAATATTCATCCATCTTGGATGGATCCATTTTTTGGTCTTCTGTTTTATGTTCATTTTATTGAAGTCAAAGAAGAGAGTTGGACCAATGAATGATTCTGTTGCCCCTTTTTTAGCATAAAGGTCCGCCTTTTCATTGGCTTCATGTCCTTCATATCCGGGTATCTAAATCAGAGAGACCTGGTTGTGGGTGGCCAGTTGATTGAGTGCATTGTTACACTGTCGAGTGATTGGTTGTCTGAGAGTATATTAATTTTAACTCTCTTAAGTATTTTCTTGAATAAGATTTCTACGGTCTCTATTATTTTAATTGTATTAATTAAATATATATTGGCATAGAGTTAGGCATGGAAAATTGTGTTTTTTGTGCTTATTGTAATTGATTTGTGTAGTCTGGGCACCACTATTCCTGCTCCAACACCTTGAACTGTTTTGTATCCATCTGTATACTATTTTTACGAATCGTCATGTAACAATGTTGGGTTGGCATTCCACTCCTCCCTTGATGGGAAGATCCTGTAGACCCTACAGGAAGACCCTGTATCTCTTGGTGAAATTAAGTACTGGGTTTGTGTTGTCAATATATGTAACATTTTTCACCCTGGTAAGGATTTGTAGGTGTCCAGTGAAATTTCCTGATTTGAATTTTTCTTTCGTGTGTATTGAGAGTGTTTGCATTGCAGCTTCCTTTTGTATTGCTAGGTGTAGCGATGGTAAATTTAACAGTGCTCCCATGCCAGCAGTTGCGGTAGTTCTCAAGGCCTCTGTGATACTTAGGCACACCAGCCTTTGTAATTTGCTCAGGTTAGATATAGCTGTTTACTTCTTTCCCATACTTATGCCTCATATAGTATGATGGGTCTAAGTATTTGAGTGTAGATCAAAAAACTCATTTTGGGGCTCAGGCCTTAGGATTATTCTAGAAGTTGTTTTGTAGTCCAAAGATTTTTCTTGGCCTTTTAAATTACGGAATTTAGGTGTACTTCCGAAGTGAGTTTGTTATCCAGTATAATTTTTAAATATTTTACCTCTTTCTTTATGGATATCTCTATCTTGTTTATTAATAATATGGGGATTGTTAGTATGGGGTTGGTAGGATTAATTGAAAATCCTGCACCAGTCCCATATTGTATTTTTTGTGAGTTCTAATGTGTCAGCAAAGAAATTTGTGAAGGTACCGTTCGGTGTTTTATTGTACTAATTGGATTAGTTACAGTGACAGTGACGTTTGTATTCTTGCAGCATCTTTAAGTTCATCACAAAAGATTTCCAACAGTTCCTTTTTAATATCCTTGGTTCCTTGTTGTATAATGGCAAAAATTTCCTATATTCTTCCCATGCATTGTTTTTGTTTGCGTCGTTGAATTTGGATCTTTCTATTTTACGCAACTTGACAAGTTCTTCATTCCACCAGGGTACTCTTTTCGTTGAAGGTTTTGTTTTAAGTGGACTGCATTCGTAATATGCGGATATTATGGAGTCGGTCAAATTTTTAACTGATGCGTACAGTTCCTCTGTTGATTTTAAGGGAAACATGCTATTTGAAGGAAAACATGCTTCTGCTTAGTTTAGATTCTAGACATTCTGGGTATTTCTTCCAGTTGGTTGCTTTAGGACTTCTTTAGGACACTACGCTCTTATTTAATCTAATCACTACGATCAGTTAGTGATCAGATCAAGTGAGTTATTGGTTGTGAGTGTCAAGTCAAGAACCTCTTGCCGTATTGCATTCTCAAAGGTTGATTATTTTCCCTGTTTGCGATAGCTATGTTAGTTTGTAGTAAAAGCTCCATGAGTCATTGATTGTCTTAGTCAAATGATGAAAATATAACGTAATTTTGCACGATAGTTGCAATTTAAGGTCTCTATTAAAAATACGCTTTTTGCTTCCAAACTGTTTTTTTTAGCGCTCATGAATTTCTGTAGAATCTATTCCTGCCTCCATACCCTTAAGTATCGATATTCGTCCCTTATCAGGTTTTAGTTGATAGGTATAGAACTGATTCAAATGTTTTTCTAATTCAACTATCACCTTTTGACACTGATCTTGTACTTTTGTTTCATTTACCATATCTTATCTAATAAGTAGAACAAAAAAATATTTTTTTTTTGATTGTTTCTCTCACAAGAAAACGGTAGAAGAAAACGGAATGCTGGCATCACCACAGGCCAAATAAAATATGACCACGTAGTTGGCAGCCTCGACAGCGCCACATTACGATATAAACCAGATATCATTCGTGTTCCACCAACAATGGGAAAATACTAGATGATTAAAAAACGTCTGATTCAAGATTTTGCTAATTCGGAATATCCAAAACTACGGTGACTGGTGCAGTAGTGTCAATTGGATGACACCAAGCCAACACAGCTGTTATGAACCATGCGCAACTTAGTCGGCAGTGCCATGTGTGATGAAACCGTTAAACAATTGTGGCTGGACCGTTTGCCTGAGGCAATGCGAGATATCGTTTAAATTTCAGAGGCTGACTTGGACAAATGTGTTAAACGGTGCCGAAGTTGCCAAACCAATTTTAGGTTCAGAAATCTTAAAACATTTTGGTCTTGTGGTAGATGAAAAACATATACGCCTGAGCGATACGCAAATAAAGCAAAGTATCCAAAGTGCATTAGAACACACTAACTACGAGCCAGTTTTTTCTATTCAGAACAACCATAAAGAACTACTAAGCTCATTTAAGGAATTAACAATACCCGTCCCATACAATTGCAATAATGTGTCTAAGACTACAGTTCGAACTTGTCGTGTTACTGCATTCTGTTGCATTTAAATTTATTTTTAAATTAAAGCCTAAAATTTTAAAAAATAATTTTAACTAAGTGCACAAAAAAATTAAATAATAAACATACTTACTAGTTATCGTGATCCGCGACAGCATAAGGGCTGATTGTTTATTTAATTACAAAAAATGTTTCTAAATTTTAATAAAAACAAAGTTCACAAAATTATTGAAATTAAAATTGTGTTTTGTTTTGTTACCAATACGTACAAAACAGCTGATAGAGACAGCATTTGTTTCTTATCAAAAGTGAGAATTTATAAAAGTGGTGTTGCCATATCGTATATTTTAAGTAATTTTTAAAAAAATTATGGTCGCAACTTTACAACATAGTTCCAAAAGAACAAACCACCACAACTTTTGAAACAGACGAGGAAGAGCTTGCTCGAGAAACCGACTGTATCGTTAAAAAAAAAAAAACAAAAGAGCCTCAAAAAGGCGTAAAGCTACCACATCTCCAAGTGTGTCAGCAATTTTTAACAATATGACACAAAAGCAATCTAATGAAACGGAAAAGGCATCAACCAAGCTACGTCCACCACCAATAATGTTAATTGTCTTTGATAACTACAACGTTATAAGAAAAATAATTACACAGGAAAGTAAAAATAAATTTTTACTGAAATTAATGAATAACAACTTTTGTAAAATCAGCACTTTTGATGGCAACGATTATCGGGAAATAACTAGAGTTCTAAATGAAGCAAATTTTTAATGGCACTCTTACGAAGATAAACAGTTTAGACCAATAAGAGGCGCAGCAAAAAACCTGCATCATTCATGCGACCCTAAAGATATAGTAGGCGACCTTGCAGGAAAGGATTTTAAAATTGTCAGCGCACTTAACAAACTACAATTTAAAACCAAGAAACCACTGGATATGTTCATCTTAACCTTCGAGTCAGTAGAAGATACGAACAAAATCCATGAAATCAAAGAAATCCTGAACTTAATAGTATCTATAGAAACAATAAAACCTTCTAAACTTATCCCAGAGTGCATCAAATGTCAATCCTTCAACCACACCAAAAATTACTGTCAAAAGCAGCCTAGGTGTGTGAAATGTGCAGGTAAGCATGAAACTATAAATTGTGAAAAACCTGATGATAGTCACTCAAAATGTTGCAACTGTGGGGAGCAACACCCAGCGTCATATAGCGGTTGTTTAGTAGAAAGGGAGCTTCAAAAATTAAGAGACCAAAAAACAAATAAACTTCCTGTCCCAGTTCAAACAGATAATATCAAAAGTCCAATAGTATACACAAGTCGAAGAATCGCTAATGTATCATATGCAGACGCTATTATGCCAACAACCTCCGTAGCCCAAAAAATAAATATTTCCGATGAATCACAAAATGTCCTCTCTGTTATTCTTGAAAAACTAATGGCAATAGAAAACTTAGAACGA